GGAGGCTGAGGCAGGAGAATTGATGTAGGGCTATGTAGTGAGTTCAAGGCCACCCTGGACTATATTCTCTATCTCAAAGAAACAAAAAGGAGAAAAAAAGGCATGTAACTAAATACAGAGAAATCCACGTTTATGACTATAAGTTTTAAAATACTTCCCTCAGTAACACATAGATCAAGCATAAATAATACAGTGGTATAAAGCTATAAAAGGTTTGAACATTTTTCTTGAGACAAGGTCTCACTCTGTAGTTCAGGCTGACTTTGAACTCACCACATAACCCAGCATGGCTTCAATTTTGATGCAATACTCCTGCTTCAGCCTCCCAAAGGCTGAGATTATAGGTGCGCTGTCAAGCCTGGTTGAAATCACTCTTAACCCAAAGACTTGGACTACTGGATATGTAGGTGACCCAAAAATTAAACACCTGCAAATATACACTCTTTAAGTCCTTCTGGAAAATTTACCAAAAGCAGAGCATTCAGAATCTCTCTGTAACTTTAAGGAAGTAAAACAACAAAGCCTTTCCCAATTCTGATGGAATTAAGCTGGCAGTCAGTAACAAACTCGCAAACCAGACTATCTCCAAGTGCTGAGAAATCAACAACATACTTCTAAATAATCCACAGATCAAAGGCAAATTGTAAAGGAAATAAAACATCGCATGAGCTAAAAGTAATAAAGTATAACATACCAACATTTTAGCTAACAGCTGAAACTGTTATTGCTGAGAAAATTATAAATTTTAATGCATAAATTGCCTGCTGTGGCATGTAAGAAGCTAGCTAGTTAGTCTTTAAAAATAATTTAAAAGCTGAACAAACTGAAAAACCCTTCTCAGGCCCATCAGCTCACTAGCCCCACAGCTGGAAACCGATCAGCAAATGCAGAGAATCACTGCTTACCAGAGCAGAATCCTTTCTGCTACCAAGGAAGGCCTGGAATCCACCAGCTCCTCTGGACAAGGCTGAAAGGAAAAACCTCCAGGATGCACTTCCTGGGCCCCACAATTTTGAAAATTTGACATTAGTAGCTCAACAAGGTTCTCACAGGAAACAGGAAAGAAAAATGTCTACTTCAGCAGTGAGGAGACAGACAACTGTTTTGAAATACACCAGTGTGTCCTTAAACCCTAGGGGCATTACAGGTGGGTAAAGGATGCCCCTACCATGAAGTTCTGATAAAAATGTGTACTTTAGCAGCTGGCTGTGCATCCCAGCAGCTGTGCAGAGAGATACAGGAAGCAGTGTTTGTGTCACTCACTTCCCAGAAGACCAGCAAGGTGTGTGCAAGTGTGTCAAAGTGCCAACTGGGAGTTTTACCTGCATTATACATCTCTACTAAGTTTTTGTGTGTCCACAAATGTCCCATTCAACAACTGATTCACTAGTTATTCACTGAGGTTATCTTGTAATCCACAAACGAGCCCCCAAACTTGAGTTCAAAAAAATGAGGCAAAAACATATTTTAAAAAACAGTGCTCATTTATCTTATCTTGGGCCCAGCGACACAGTGCAGTTGGGGATTGCAAAAGCTGTGTATTGTTTCTCTATACTTGCCGCCTTTAAGTACGTATCACAGTTTACAAAGTAAGGGGGTACGGGCCAAATTGCTAATGAGGAATAACTTTGTTTTCCTTAGCAGAGGATAGAGTAGTCTAGCAGTAATTAACAATTCTTTGTCAGCTTGTGCTGGCACGACATCTGTTATTTGTAGAGGGCAACAATGGTCAACATATCAATTTGGTTAGGTTTTACAATTCTTTGCAGAGGAGAGCATTGATTAACATATCAATTAGGTCACCCAGAGAAAAAGAAACACGCATATAGAACAGTAGGCCTTATTACAGGTATTTTGGTATAATACAAATATAACAAAGCTCTATTTGCTAGTGTACAATGATTACATTTGCTAAAAGAATACCAGATGAGGTCAACTATTCACAAAATCAAAGGCAGGATTCCCGAAAGGCTTCTGAGATTCTTGGGATTAAGGACTGGAAGAGGATGAGAAAAATAAAGAAGAAACAAAGCTGGGGTCAGGTGGAGTCCTCTTCCTCCTGATGGGAGGACAGGAGCTGCTCAGCCAATGCAGTGTGTTTATTTATACACCAGGAAGAATGATGTCAGTTTCAGCCCCTCTGCCCAGCAACTCATTGCTTGGACTGTCCAGGGGCTTGGTGTTTTTCTGGGCTGTAGCAACTTCTTCAGGTGGCTGACCTGGGCACCTTTGTTTCCTGGTAGGGTCACCTCTGGTTCATGCCCTAGATCAGTGTCCAGCTTCTGTGGCTCCCAACAAAATGTATAGTACAATCTGTAGATTTAAGAAAGACATAGCATTGGCCTCCTATATGGGGAAGAAAAACAAAATAGTATTACAACGTAATGGTAAAATTGATAATAAGACAAAGTTTGGTGCTCCACGCCTATAATCCCAGCACTGGGGGGGAGGGGGGTTGGGGCTGAGCCAGGAGGAGCCTGTGAATTCAAGGTCAGCCTGTGCTACACAGTGAGTTCAAGGGTAGTCTGGACTAGGTAGCCAGACCTGTTTCAGAGCAAACAAAAAAAGACTGGCAGATTGGAGTGGGGAGCCAGTCTACAGTCCAGAGGAAACCCCAGCCTCTGAGTGAGCCTGTGCTGCTCACAAAATAAAATATCCAATATGTAAAACGTGCTTCTTTACCCCGCTCCACACCTTACCGCGTTTGTACTGAGGTGGTTACAGCAATTCCACCTGTATGTGCAGCTATGGAGAAAAAGCAGGACACACTACAGTGCAAATACTATAGTTTAAAGCATCAGAACTGGACTCAACGGTGGCAAGGAGGTTGGAGTCATCTGATCAGGACTTGCAAACAGCTAAGATTTAGATGCCAAGGTCTAACGGGTAATGTAGGCGGCAGGAAAGCACAGATGGCCAATAGCAGAGGCGGAAATTCTAAGTTAAAAACAAGATGCAGTGGCAGAGGATAGAAGCTCTGTAATATCAAGAGAAGGCAAAGACAATGTGTGAGCCAGAGAAAATATCTGCAAAAGGCACATCTACGTCAGAACCATTGCTCAAGGTGTGTGGAGACGTCAGAGACATCAACAACCTGATTAAAATCTGGGCTTTACATCATCACAGGTCACCAGAGAAGGCACACAGACGGCGAGCGCGCACGTGCTCATCATCAGGAAAACGCAAGTTAAAGTGATGATCACAGATGCCCAGCTCCACAAGCTGGCAGCTCCAAAGCTGGAGAGGTCAGGGAGTAACATGAATTCCCATCAAGTTGCTTCAGCTTGCCCAAGTCGCGTCACAGAGGTGAGACCCAGAAATGTCAGTTTCCGCCTTCCGAGGTTCCGACACATTGGACCCACTGGCGTTTTCGAGTTTCTGAGTCTCAGCGTCCCTGGTTCTGTAAACTGGACGATTCCCTTTCTGGGATCTGTCCTGTGCTTTGGAGGTTGCTCAGCAGCACCCGGTCCCCCGACCCGAGAGACACCGTGTCCTCCCTCCCTGTGCCTCTGCCCGCTCACTTAGGACCAGGCGAAAGGTCCCCATCCACTGCCGACCGTCCGGAACAAGCAACGTTCCGCCACTGGAGGACCAGTGGACCGCGCTGCTCGGCCCGTGCCACTGCTTTCCAGAGCGGCGTTTGGGTAATTTCTACTCCGCCCCCTGCAGGATTCCAAGCGTGCGAGCCACCGAAACAGACCCCGCCCGCCCCTGTCTGCGCACGAGATGTGGGTTCTGGGGTAGGCACCCTGGCCGGCGTAGACCCCAGGCGGGCTCCACGCGTGGGAAGTCGCTGCCCCTCCGCGGAGTGCACCCTGCGTCCGCTCAGCGCATTTCAGGCTGGGAACACGGATGCTAGGAAACCATCCTGCGGAGCAAAAAGAGGCTTTGCGTTCCTGGCTCTGCGGGGTTTTTAGGGTGGGCTGGGGGCCTGCGGACCACGGTGGGGACAGGCAGGAGGGGCTCCTAGAGCGCGGCCCAAACTCGGCTGCTGTGGGCCCCGTGTGAGACCGAGGCTGCCTGGCAGCGGCTTAGAAACGCCCCTGGGTGCAGCGCAGTGAGAAGGCGTGGGTGCCGAGGGAATTTAAGAAGTTAAGTGAAATCGCAGGCCCCGCAGCGGCAGCTCCTCGACGGCGCCGAGTTCTGGGCGCCCGCGGGGTCACTCAAGCCGGTGCGGACAGCCCCCGGGAAGTGTGGTTTCCGTAGTGTAGTGGTTATCACGTTCGCCTCACACGCGAAAGGTCCCCGGTTCGAAACCGGGCGGAAACATTCTATTTTAGGGAACACAAATGTGTCTGCTGCGGTCCGCGCACCGCCTCAGGCTCCGTTGGAGCTCAGGGTTCCGCGAGAGGAATGTCACTGTCATCCGAGCGAGGGGTTTTCTTTTCGAACTGTATCGAAAGCAAAAGCTAGTTCTCAGAAAACGTTGCAAGGTTGGTAGATTTTGAAATTACGGTTTGGCCCTACTTGAGGGCTTCCGCAACGACCTTGCTAATTCATTGGGAATTCGCCCCAGCCTGGGCCTCACACTGCCACCGAGCAGCACTCCAGGCCCCAGCTCCAGCGCTGGTTGCTAATAATCTCTAATCCTAATTTTGCTATTTTCCATCACTACAAAGTGCCTGAGCCACTCGAGGTCTAAGTGCTTCCTTAGGTGTGGATCAGAGAAGTTGCCAAAGAAAAGTCCTCACTAATTTAAAAATTTAAAAAAAATTTAAGAAGTCCTCACTGGAACTTGAAGCCAGGGCTTCCTGTTTACTAGACAGGCACTTTGGCTAACTAAACCCCAAGGTTTTTCCTTTGCAATCAAAAACAAAACTTTGTCTAGAACGCAAGGAGCGAGGAGGCTCGGGGAAATGCTCTCAGAACGCAGGGTTTTCCTGTCCCCTTCCCCTCCCCCTTCCTATTCTAATTCAATCCCTTGATACGGAGCGGGGGGAGGGGTCGCGCTTCCCCGAAGCTCAGCACCTACAGTAGAGAGTTGCGCAAGTGTTTCCGTCACCGGGATGGCCGAGTGGTTAAGGCGTTGGACTTAAGATCCAATGGGCTGGTGCCCGCGTGGGTTCGAACCCCACTCTCGGTAAGTTTGGTTTTTCTCTCTTTTCGTGTCTTTTTCAGTCTCAGCCTTTGGCGAGCCGCCTGAGTTTCTGTTGGCCCAAGAGGCTGCTCGGCCGCCAGGCGCCCGCTTCCCAGAGCGCTGTGCCTCCCAGGCCGCACCTGCTTCCCGGAAAAGCCCACATCACAGGATCGCCGGCGTCGGGCAGGACGGCCCGGGCCTCCTCGGCCGAGCTGCTGGCCTTGATCTTCCTAGTGTGGAACCCGGACAGCGCCCTGAGGGAGGTTTGTTCTGCATGGCCTGGGTTACAGCATCTGTGACGAGCAGAAGGGCCCCTTCCTAAGTCAAGACTGGGGATGTCGCTCAGAGTCCAGCTCTTGCCCCAGCAGGCGGGGCCCTGGTTTGGCCTTCGACTGAAAAATAAATAAATAAATGAAAATGGAGCAATTAGTCACCTATTATCTCTTAGTAAGGATGTTCAGGAGACAACATTAGGTTATGTTTTTCTAGCATGATGGGCCCTTTTCAAAGGCACGCCTAGCACAAGATGCATTGGTAGTGCTTTCCTCCAGGATGTGGGCCACGCACTGGGGGTGCACACACGCACATGCATGCACTGCTGCCCGGCAGTGTTTCACATACTGCTGATGACAGTCTTCTGTAATATAGTACCTGTAAAAGAGAAAAGGCAAAAAACCAAATTCAGAAATAGCAAAGAAGAAAAGATGAACGATCCTTTTGATTTTATGTCAAAATACATACCCAGCACAACTGCAAAAGCAAAACTGAACTGTGGAATCCTTCCAGTAAAACTTTAGAAAAAACCTCTTGCCCTGGTATTTCTAGACAGTTCTTAACTGGAAGAATTTCCTTCCAGCCTAGGGTCCACAGCAGTGCTGGTGATGAGGAAGTTAGGCCCAGGGCTGTCTTAGCCTGCAGGAGACCTGTGGGCAGGAGGACAGCTGTGAGGGTGGTGTTTCCCGCTACATTGATAAGCTTGCTTTGCAAGATGGTGGGCTACAGTAACCCACCGCTGGTGTAGAGGTGGGACTTGTATTCCAGGGCTGGTCTGAAACTCCTGGTGTCTGGTAGTTTAGAGTGAGGACTCTGAGCTGGATTTCCAGTGTGGGGTCCACTCCTTCCCTGGGAAGTGAACCACAGCCGTTCTCAGTGATGACAAGGTCCTCAGCTATTATCATTGGAGGAGCTCACAACCTTGTCGTCACTGAGAACGGCTGTGGTTCACTTGGGGGAAATCTGGTCCTTACTTTGAGTGTCATATCAACATTTTAATTCTTCTTTCCACTTTGTTCTTCCTTCTACGTCAACCCTCTCAGCACACACCTTTCCCCTCATCATTCCCTGTGGTCCTGTCCCACGGAGGCTTCATCCTGGCCTCTGTCCAGCTCATCCAGCCCACATGCACTGCTGAGCAGGCACAAGCCAAGGCATGCAGGGCTTGCCTCCGATGGGTTCAGCAGAGCTCAGAGAAGGTGCCTGTCCTCACGGGACTGGTGTTCTTTCAGGAACAGCTGGCCAAGCACAAGGGTGCTATTGTGTGCCACTGGGCAGTCAGGAAGGACCATGCTCACACAGCTGCCTTTGAATGAAGTCCTGTGAGAGTCAAGGCCTCCACTGAGCAGTTTTCTCCATCACAAAACTAACGGCCTGGAGGTGGCAGCACCCTGCAGGTGGGCAACTTTGCAAATGCACAATGGCCAATTCCTGTAGCCTGCACCCGAGTCTGCGATCCAGTGAGTGTCTCACTGTGCACGGAGGTAAAGGAAGCTGGAAAACACTGGTCTGTGTTTGAGCTCAGTGAAGAGGTTGCAAGAAAGTGTGGAAAACACAACCACAGGATGAGAGAGACCAGGGCACAGAGAGACCCCAGAAAATCACCTTCCTGGAGGCTAAAATCCCTAAGACCCTAGGGAGGAGCACGGGCAGAGGAGGCCAAAGGCCTGGAACCTTCAAGGCCCAGAGCTCTCTTGAAGGAAGGTGGATGACAGCAGAGTTGGAGGTCAGGGAGCAGAGATGGAACAGGCGGGGCAGGTGGGGCACCCCCAGCTCCCAGCCCAGGAGCATGTGGACAGCCCCTGCCCCCAAGGAGGTTCCAGAAGCAGAGTCAGCGAGCACAGATTTTAGGAGAGGCGAACTGGGGTTCAGCGTTCACCCTGTGCCCACACAGGTCCCACTGCCACATCTGCTGGACAACTGTGTCGCTTCTCAGCTTTCCTTGGCACCAATGCCAGGGCAATCTTTGTGGCTCTTTTTTCTGCTTCTGAAGCAAGAAGAAACTATGTCCAGGAGCAAAGTCGAGTGACTAATAAAATGTCAGCTACTGGTGCCTGGCCGGCAATTGGCCCAGGTGTTCAGCCACAGCAAATACTCAAATAGAACCCGAGAGACCCCAAGAGCAAAACAGTAAGTAACCAGCTGGCTTTCCTGGAGGGGGGAAAAAAAGAATCAAGATAAATAGTCACATGTGTACATGCAAACCAAGTAGGATCCGTGGAGAATCTAAGGGTGGGCTTACCTGGAGAAAAGTGGCTGACAGAACGAAGACAGTGCGGAAACTTTTCAATGTATCTTCTTGTTTCTGCTTTTGAGTCACACAAATGTTCCATTTATGCAGAAGACCTTAGACAAGTGTTTGTAAAGTAACACGCAGCTTTCTTATGGGAATAAGTGCAGAGGGTGTCAAAGCGAGATCTTTATGGTCCTTACATGATTTTTTTTTTAATTTAAAGAGAAAAAGAAAAAGAAAAAAAGGGTAAAAACAGTGCAGAATTTCAGAAAAATAAACAGTAAGAAATCACCAGTCGATAAGTTACATACCGTCATCTTAAAAATAGTTGCTCGAGTTACAAAATTAAAGCATACAAAGTGATATCAAATAATGACACTGCAAACAATTCTGCTCAACGATCCAACAAGAACTTAGTAATATGGTTATCAGCCCTACACGCTTGTTTTTTTATAAGGAAACAATTTAAAGAAACACAAGTTTCAAAACAAGTCCACCGGAGAGCTTCACTTGTCTATCTTATTTTCCCTAGTTTTCTTCCAAATAGTTGTCCCCCTCTTCACACACACACACACACACACACACACACACACACACACACACACACGGTCCTTACATGTTTTATTCCTTTTAACTCTTACTGTCTCTATATGGAAGTGTGAGTGGTTTGATAATTTACAGTGGGCAGAAACAAAGAAGTCAGTATTTCACCTCAAGAAACCTCCCAGACGTGGGCACAGCAGCGAGCGGGGTAGAGGAGCAGGGGACCCCAGGGGATTTTCCTCCTACGATGCCTCACCGCGCAAGAGCAAAACGACCCTAAGCCTGGCCCGTACGGGGATCGAACCCGCGACCTTGGCGTTATTAGCACCACGCTCTAACCAACTGAGCTAACCGGCCACCGCCGCGGGGCGCCTGCCCTTTGTCAACCCCGTTGGGCCCCGCTCTCCCCCTCCGACCCCCTCCTGGGAGACCAGCCTGGGGAACCTGCCGGTTCTGATCCGAGACGGTCCCGGGGGCCTCCGCCTTCCCCGCCGCTGTGCGACTCCTCTCGGCTCGGGACGGTCGCGCCTGGGGTTTGGTTGGGATCCCCCGGCGACCCGGACAGGCGACCCTGGTGCTCACGCGGGGGCAGAGACACGGGGGCTGGGGTCGCTCATCCCGCAGAGCCGGGCCAGCGGCGCAGTCGTTTCAGCTCGGCGCCTGCACCCATCCCGCACATGGAAAGCGTCCGCCAGCCACGGAGATGGGACGGTTTTTGTTTTCAAGTCGGGTGACGCAGATTTGTAGACTGCTGCGCCTTACAGAGTGAAAAACATATTCAAATAGCACCGAAGCAGGAGGGCCCTCAGGGCAGGCTCCGTGGCTTAGCTGGTTAAAGCGCCTGTCTAGTAAACAGGAGATCCTGGGTTCAAACCCCAGCGGGGCCTGAGGGAGGCCGGTGGTTCTGTGCTCTCTTTTGCTGTTTGCTATACTCGGTGTGGTGCAAGCTGTCAGTCCTGAAGAGAACTATGAAGACAATAAGATCCATTGTGACGCCCATTCTGGTTGACTATTATCTTCTTTTGAAGTCCTCTAATGTCTCCAATGTTTTGGTTTTATTGGCCTTATTCTTTACTGTTTTGTTCAATTTTATTATAACTGATGATATAGTCAATTCTTTTTAAGATAACAAGAAGCATTATGGTAACCATTGTTGATCACCTTGTATTTTGTTTTTACATTATGTATTATATCCATCCTTTTGATTTGACTGACTCTGTCCTGGTATGTCACATTTGGTTTTACTTTCTTCAAAAAAAAAAAGTAATAAGAACTGTGGGACTAATAAAACCCAAAATGTGTAATTGTCATTGTACAAAAGAAAGGAAGAGAAAGTTCTCTAAAAGATATAACTGCATATATATTTAAGTGTATAAAATAGATAACCATATTACTGAGTTTTGTTGGATTATTGAACAAAACTGTTTGCAGTCTCACTGTTTGAAAGTCCCCTCTATATGCTTTAATTTTGTAACTTCAACAACTATTTCTAAGATGACAAGATGTAATTAACTAGTGATTTCCTACTGTTTATTTTTTCTGAAATTCTGTATAACTTGTACCCTTTTTCTGTTTGTTTGGTTTTTTTCCTCCTTAAATAAATAAAAAAAAAAAAAAGAAGTCATACTGGGCAGTGTTTACTGTTTGAGAACAAAGGATGGAAATACCACAGCTTTAGAAACAGATGCTTTCTAATGTTCTTTCTACCTGCCTGAGAGGAAGTTTTTTCTGTTAGCTCACCAACTACTGAAGGTTTTACAATGGACTATTAAGTGGCTGGTGAAATTTCTAATTTTCTTTGCCATGGACACATGTGTCCTTATCAATAGCTTTGTGGGTCAACGCGCAATGCATAGAAAAATTTAAAGAGAAGAAAGACTTAAGGCTAGGAAGTCTAAGGAAGAAATGATGGCTTGTATTGTACTGTAAGCTCTTGTTTTATGTTTCTTTTGACATT